TCCTGCTGGTTTCAATTAAAATCTCTGTTCCTCACTGTATTAATCTATTAACGTTAATTTTGTGATTTCCATTCAAAAAATGTTAATTTATTCTTTGCTTGTGACATCATGGTCTGTTTGAGGGTAAATTAAATATGACAAATATGACTGTGCCTTTTCTGTACCATTTTAATGAGAAGGAAGATATAGTTCTAAAATGCAATGATTCATTTTCATAATACTAAAATTCATTCAGTATTCCAAAGTCCTAAGTAATTATAAGAAAACTTGAGTTTACTTCTCTTAAAATGTATTTTTGTGTGGGGATGCAGTTATGCTCAAGAAAAAGTAGTTTGTGGATGCAATGGGTTATTTTGTGAAGGAAATATTTGAAAATAAAATGTTTTTCATTGCTTTTTAAAAATTTTTTGACAATATGACAGTTTTGTCAAGAATAATCTTTTTTGTGTTCTCTCATTATATGGAAACATCTCTCTCAATCAATTTAAGTGTAGTGTTTCTTGCTATATTTCTAGTTTCTCAAAAGGATAAACTTTTTAAAATGTTAAAATTTACACTTTGAAAATGGTGAATGTTAGCCCAGCATTATATCAACCTCCTAATCTTCTTAAATTAAAAGGTAATCATGACTGTAGTTATATAGTGTTGTAAAAATCAGCTGTTGTGATTTAACCCCAGCTGGCAACTGAGCACCACACAGCCGCTTGCTCACTCCCCACAGTGGTATGGAGGAGAGAATCAGGAGAGTAAAAGTGAACAAACTCATGGGATGAGATAAAAATAGTTTAGTAATTTAAATTAATAACAATAACAACAACAATAATAATAATAAATACCAAACAAGTGATGCACAACGCAACTGCTCACCACACGCTGACCAACGTTCAGCCAGCCCCTGAACAGCATCCCCCTGGCCAGGTTTCCCCTAGTTTAGCTACTGAGCATGATATCATATGGTATGGAATATCCCTTTGGCCGATTTGGGTCAGCTGTCCTGGCCATGACCCGTCCCACCTTCTTGTGCATCTCCAGCCTTCTCAGTCGGTAGAGCATAAGAAGCTGAAAAGTCCGTGACTTCGTGTAAGCACTACATAACAAGAACTAAAACATCAGTGTGTTATCAACTTTATTCTCATCCTAAATCCAGAACACAGCACTATACCAGCTACTAGGAAGAAAATTAACTCTATCCCAGCCAAAACCAGGACATCAGCTTTGCTTCCATAAAACTTGCTGTAGGAGGACTGAGAATAAGATGGGTAAAGAACTGTCACAAGGCAATAGCAGAGTATGTTGGTGTACTTCAGTAGACTTTTGGATCATCCTTTGAGTGCTGTGCGGAATATTAACCTGTTTTTTAGTGGTTTTGCATTATGCTCCAAAACTTCTTTATTATACTGCACAAACTACTGATCGCTACTCGTTGCAGGAAAGTGTTGGGTTAAATTCTAGACTTTAAAACACCAACGAGTGTTGATAATTTCACATTTGGCACTTCCAGATATTTCAAAGAACATTATCACCATTAAGTTCTTTTCCCAAACAGGAAATAGCTATCACACAGAATAGCAGCTGTGCATGAAACCTCTATATCCTTACAAAAAGACCAGTGCAAGGAACTCTAACTTCCCCTGGCTACTCCACCCATATTCTTCAACATTGACCTAAAAGACAGACCTTAGAGAGTCTGACCTTAAGCGAGGTTCTTCTAACACTTCTGTTTAGACTGTGAGCAAGCAAAAAAATCGCTGTCAAGTTTTCTTTTGCTTTACTGGGACTATCCTCTAGGAACAAGACTGAAAACACCAGATCATATCACATCATCCAGCACATATCAGTCAAACATGAACCAGAGCTGAGCTGCTGACTGGTGAATAGCTTTTTATAGCTTTATCAAACCTCTGCCCTCCTACAACTTTCCTGATTTAGTAATTTGTTTTAATTATGAGTTTTCACTGTTTAGAAATACTTAGATGACATTTGGAGATCGCAATCAGCTGTTTTTTATAGTAACATGTACAAGTAACGGATATGAGAACTCAAGCTGGATTAGAAAAATTTACTCAGGTATATAAATTTCTCATAACAACTCAACTAATTAATTACATTTTGTTTTAGGTATTCACTGGGATATTCACAGCAGAAATGGTACTAAAGATAATTGCCATGGACCCTTATTATTATTTCCAAGAAGGCTGGAATATTTTTGATGGTATTATCGTTAGCCTTAGTTTAATGGAGCTTGGTCTTGCAAATGTTGAAGGATTATCTGTTCTTCGGTCATTCAGATTGGTAAATACCTTGATAATTAAATATTTGCATGCAATTGTCTCACTCAAAAAGAATGTGCTGATGTCTGTAATAATTACCAGTACTGTAAAGACATATTATATTCTTAAATGCCTTGCTCTATTTTTCATATATGCCTAATTTGCAAGCCATATTTGATAAGTATAAGTTTAAGGTGTTCATCAATTGATATCCTTTGATATCTTTTGGTATCAAATTATCCTACTATTATATCCTATCCTATTGATACCTATCCTACTGATATCCTTTGCCGGCATAAGACTTACACCTACCTTTTGAGAATTTTGTAAATCTTTGTTATACTGATTTCATTAAGATTCATCAAAGCTGAATATCTGTAAAAACATACATATTGCCACCAGCATAAAAAATCGTCACACTTTTAGCCTTTATATTGTGACCATTACTTTGCATTACTCATAAAGATCCTAAGTAGATCCTCTCCTCACAACATTTATTTTAACAGGCACCAATAATAAACATTTACTAACTCCATTACATATAACAGAGTCATAACAATCTGACTTTAGCATAACACTTACATTGAACTATTATTGAGCTTCTACTAGAAATGTCTTTTTTATAGCAATTAGGATTGTACACAAACTAATTTATAGGTATGTGTATTGGAGGCACAAGATTCATTATTTAAAATTCTGTATTACTAATAGTCATCACATTACTTTAAAACCTAGGTTATTTCCGAATATATAGAGCAGGAAGTAATGACATAGTTTGTTAGCACCAGTTGCAATGGTACCCAACTTCATGTACCATAGTTTGGTTACTGAATATTATTTTTACATTAGTGTTTATGATTTGAATGGACATCACAATATCAGTATCAAATTGTTGCTTCAAAAATTGTCCTCTAACTAAGCCTGGAAGACCTAATATGGTGCTGAGGGAAATGTGCAACCGAGCCAGCAAAGAGGATGTAGTGAAGGTGATGAAGAGTACAAACTTCTAAAATGTCTTTAAGGATTGTTCACTAAAATATTAAAATAAAACGTGGTACAAACACAGATTATGTTTTTTTTTCTACGTGCATCACTAAGATGAAATGCTGAATGCTGCAGTTTAGGCAAATATCCATGCTCCCTGCTTTCCATTAAAATAATAATATGTTCCTACTGAAGAATAAATTGATGTACAAAAACTGATATGCCCTACTACACAACTTGGACCTAGCTTCTATTTCATAACACTGATTCCTCTGCATTTTTGTTTTTCAGCTTCGAGTTTTTAAGTTAGCAAAATCTTGGCCAACTCTAAATATGCTGATTAAAATTATTGGCAACTCAGTGGGGGCTTTGGGTAACCTGACCCTGGTACTGGCCATCATTGTGTTCATTTTCGCTGTGGTTGGGATGCAGCTGTTTGGGAAAAGCTACAAGGAATGTGTCTGCAAGATCTCCAGTGACTGTGTGCTTCCACGCTTGCACATGCATGACTTTTTCCTCTCTTTCCTGATTGTATTTCGAGTGCTGTGTGGAGAATGGATAGAAACGATGTGGGACTGCATGGAGGTTGCAGGCCAAACAATGTGCCTTATTGTTTTCATGCTGGTCATGGTGATTGGAAACCTAGTGGTACGTGATGAACATTTTCGAACATTAACCCTGATACAAAATGTACATAACTTACAGCTAGGCAATGGGAATGTTTGTCATACTTCCATTTAGAATTAAAAAATAAATCTGAATGTGCTAAATTTTGTGTAAAAACATATGATTATTCTCTTTTCCCCCTTTTCACTCATTTCCATATACCGAAGTACTCTCACCATGCACCCAGGAATTTAGGAATACACCAAAATGTCAAATCAAACACTGTATCATGGGAGTGCTGCAGCTAATTTAGAGGTGCTGTTTAAATCCAAATGTCTTCCTAACTATTCTTGAAATAATAAAGCTTACGCTGCACCAGATCCTGGGCAGCTGCTTCTTTGGAGAAGACTTTCTTACATGTATTACAGCTAATTCCAGCATTAATACTTCTGACAATAAAAATAAAGTATAATGTAGCTGTTCTTATATAGAATATCTTGAATTTAAATACTGAACTTTCTGACCTGTTTAGGTGTAAAAAACAAAAACAAAATAGAGAGTGACTGGACATTCATCCTAAAAATGTGTTTGAAAGCTCAAAATTATAGAAGAAACCTTTGTAGAAAAATTTTAATTCAAACTGACAAGTTAAAATGCCAAAGGTTCCACTGATGAATATTGAATTGCTGAGAACTTCTGAGAAATCAGGATTGTAAATGGAATGCACCATTTACACTTTTACTTTATTTTTGCTTCTTTTACTGTTAATCTTTGCATTTCATTCTGATATGCCTAAGACTATATTTCATTACCTGTCAAAATTATCTTCCTTTAGTAATATATTTTTTAATTATTTAATTTTTTATAAAATAGAATTCAAAATGTTCATATCCTAGTCATTTACATGACCCTGCAATCTTGATATTATATCAGCAGAGATGTGCAGAGCAACAGAAAGTTATTTAGGATCAGTAACCTGCTCTACTATTTTTTTAACATTAGCTTCAGCATAGAAATACTGTTTCAGATTCATATCGTCTTCTTCCTTCTAAATGTATTTTTACCTCCAGGGTTCTTTTCTGGAATTATGAAAGTCTGCAGAATTAAATCTCATAAAAAGTACAAATGAGAGACCTAACACATTTAACAACAGGGAAGTTTGTTTATGCCATTTTGCCATATCACGACAAGTTTTGGATGCTTGGTGCTATATCAGACAAAGTATGAAATGATTAATTGCTTGTAAACTTTAGTGAAATAGCTACAGCTTATAGGAGATTATATTAAAACAACAATAATGATGTTTGAATTCTGAGGCAATAAACCACAGCTCTCAGGCAGTACTGGTGCTAAGATTGTTACCTGCTGATGTAAGAAGTCCATTTTATTTTAAATTCCTACATAACAGCAAACAAGTTACTCATTTTTTGCCAAGTGAAAAAGGAAAAAAATGCAATTACAAATAATATAGTATTATTATAAATAATAGAGATTAAAATTTAAAATTAATTTTAACTATTCCTTTTATCCTTTTATGACAAGCTTTACAGAATTTAAGAGACAAGTCCAGGATGAACAGAAACTCACAGTCTCATGGTATAATCTTCCAAATAGTAGTTAGAAAGAATAAGTAGGTTATTATAGCATATAATTGGTATAAGTTTCTAAAATATCTGCATCATAGAAAACCATCTAATTTTATGAATCATGTTTATTTAATTCTCCTTAAATTCCAAGATATTTTAAGATATTTAGACAGAAGGCTTTCAAACTTCTGATGAATGTGTATAGCTAGAATTTTTGTAACTTTTTCTTTATTTTAGAGTCTAAGCAACCATACTCCTTCAAACAAAGATCAAAAAGTTTAAAATAATTTGGTGCTATCTTGTCTCTTTTCCTCTTCTGAGTGAATACTGATCAAAAAAAGTAAGGAGATCTATTGTAATTTAAGGTGCTATATGGTTGTCTAAAATTAGTTAATTTTTTTTTCAAAACAATGTGTGTTCTTTGACAGTATCTTGTAAAAATACTCACTTCTTATATGTATGTATTTACCACACAGCTGTATTTTCTCGTCTTTTAGGTATTGAACCTGTTTCTGGCCTTGTTGCTGAGCTCATTTAGTTCAGACAACCTTGCTGCTACAGATGATGATAATGAAATGAACAATCTCCAGATTGCTGTGGCAAGGATTCAGAAGGGAATAGACTATGTTAAAAAAAAGATACAGGAATTCATCCAAAAAGCCTTTGTTAGAAAGCAGAAAGCTTTAGAGGAAATCAAAGCACTTGAAGAGCTAAACAACAAGAAAGACAGTTGCGTTTCCAATCATACTGCTGTTGAAATAAGCAAAGATCTGAATTATCTTAAAGACGGGAATGGAACCACCAGTGGTGTAGGCACAGGCAGCAGTGTGGAAAAATATGTAATCGATGAAAATGATTACATGTCATTCATAAACAACCCAGGCCTCACTGTGACAGTGCCAATTGCAGTTGGAGAATCAGATTTTGAAAATTTAAATACAGAAGAATTTAGCAGCGAATCCGATATGGAAGAAAGCAAACAGGTAGGATTTTTTGTGTCTTAACAATTAAACTGTAGTCATGCATGTATATTTCTTAACTACATACTTAAAATTGTTTAAAAACTGTCTTATTCTATGTAAATATATTTTATATTTTATTATTGTATGTAATTATAATACAAGAAAAAATTACCTTACATGATGGTATAGTAGGGGTCCTTAGAGTTTACCTTTAACACTGTTTATTAGCATTTGGAAGATGTATAATTTTAAATATTATTATTTCTTTCACAATTTTATGAGGTTTTAGAACTAGCAGACATTTCATAAAGCATTCTTTCCGTAGTACCTATAATGTGATCAGGGTTTATGGAATAAGAGTATTGCAGAAGGCTAATGAACAATCAAGAGGATACTGCTTTGCATACCAAATCAAACATAAATGGAGAAAAAAATATTTTTTTCTATATTTAAGGTAGTTCTAAAAATGAACCCTGAGACATCATAAATCAGTGGTGTGTTCTGGATTAACTAAAAAGTTTTGTGAGTAATATTCATACAGATTTTGGGTTTAGAGACTATGGCTGGCTGAATTGAAGTAATCCAGATACCAATCGATATCACAGTAAAGCAGTATCTCAAGTTATTCTGGAAAGCAGAATAATCTTGTAATATAGACGTATGTGTAAACAGTTTACTTGAAAGCCTTATGCTAGTGTTATTGTGCAAAGAGACAGAAGTTGGTCTAAAAACCAGAAGCCGTGTGCATCAAAATCTAAGTGCCTCAAATACCAGAAGTGACCATGAACAGGTGATAATGGTATTCAAGGAAAATTTTGTATGCTGGAGTAATGATCAATGACAAAATAACAAATGTATTAGCAGAATATAATTATATCCAATGCCATTAGAAATGTAGGAACTGTGAGGTTTAAGGGATCAGGAACCATGGATAAATATGTTTTTGATTAGAGATAGAAACTATGATGTTGTGTGGTACCTCATTAATACAAAAGGGTTTGTTTACCATAAAGTTCTTCTATAAAGAAGCCCTGCATTCATGACTGTATCATAGCTGTATAGCTGCCATATTTGCAAATAATGCTGTCTTCCTCAGCAATACCAAACTATACCACATAACATTAATGGATAGCCATGATCCACTTAACCACAGTATGTTTTTTTTGCTAAAGAACATAAAGGAACATAGAGTGTGTGTTTATTTGCAACTGCAGAGAAGGTTACTATGCATAACAATTGTAAGATTAAGAGCAAGATATTCTATCATTTGAGTTGCTCAGTTATGAGACAAACATTTTCAATGCAGATGTGTAAGACAGTATTGCAGTAGTGCTTATCCATGGCAATTTAATATAAGAGATTCAGGAAGTGTAAAGTGATATGATTTATGACATCAACTAGTATCAAAAAACAAGCTTTCAAAGTGACTCTGGGTCTGAGAGTTAAGTATTTTCAACATAAGCTGATCTAAAAGTTATTTATCTTTTCCAATGAACCTTCTGAAGTCTTCTAAGTTTTTTCATATACTCTGATGTTCTTTAAAATTACATTTTACTATAAATTTTCCTTATGGTTAGTTTTGATAAATACAGTGATGAGTGCCTTCCTAGTAACTCCACCTTATGAAGTTACATACCTAAAAATTTCCTGGATATGTTACTTTTTAAAAAGTTTGTAAAATGCATTAGGAAGTTGGGAGGCTTATAAGCTGCGCGGATGCTAAATGTGTGGTTACGTGACACGTTAGCCTCAGCAGCAGAGCTGGTTTGGGAAGTTCCCATCCACAGCTGGCTCCTGATCCCCTGGCAGTCTTTACCACTTTCTCTGCTGCAGTGCTTGCGGGTCTGTACTATACGGCATGTCACCGGAGTGATGAAAGTTAAATAACATCACCCCATAGGTATTACTTGTTTATTTCTTCTTTAAGATAGATTGAATGGTTCAATTTACATTGTACTGCCCTATATCCTGTCAGGACAGCTGAGGACAAAACAAAATGCAATGCAAAGGCAGAAACTCCTCTGCTTTCCAAGTGAATACATGATGTAAGCACAAGCCAAGAAAATGGAGTAAGAGCCTTTGTTGTGCTGGCAAGTTCCAAATTATACCAATTTCAAGGTGACTTTCACAAGGCAATTGCTCTGTTCATTCCCACCTTTGCTTGGTTCAGGCATCATGCTTTTTGCTTCTACGGCCATCCTGAATTTTCAGGACTATAATAAATCAAGAGATTTTGCCTTTTTTTATGGATGTTAGATGTATCCATATGTCTTCAGGAAGAGAATCATATCCAAAAGTCTGTACAAGCAATTTGAAAGTGAAAATTTCAGGTGACTGTGGGAAATCCGCCAGTAAATGATGGATGGTGTATATATTAAGAACTTGTGAATAAATTTTCAATGGGCATAGGATAAGTTTAGGACTTCTGTGGAGCCTCAAGATTTCCATAGAATGTAAGAATCACTACCATTGCGAAGCTGAAGCAATAGTGCTTCCTTCAAGTTCTGCTCACACACGACTGTTAGCGTTTAACTGGTTGACATGTATTCGTACAGTGCAAGTGTGTATATTTTGAACGGTATTTAATAAGACAGGAATTTCTTACCAGTGCCCTGAATTGTTAATTCTATATTAATTGCAGTTTCTGTTCTGGATTCCTTATTTGATTCCTTCTGGATGATTTTTAGGGGAAGGATAAAGTGGGGTTTTTTATTGTGTGTATAAAAATCCACCTGCTTTGGAAATACATGAACAGATGTTCTGACGTGTGACGGGAATTTGTGAAGATTCCCTATCTTCGCCTACAAATTCAACAGCACTGTTGAATCTTTTGCTGCCTTCTGATTGTACTTTGAGGAAGATAAAGAGTATATCGGTGCAGTGTTTAAGCTACCTCTCTCGAGAACAGTACACCATCATTTGCTTTATTTCGCCCCTCAAGGGATACC